ATTGTTCTGATTAATTAATTAACTTTATATTTAAAGAGTGGAAAAGAGTGAACTTGGTTTTGTGTTCGTATCAGAAAGAAGAATCCTAGAGTTGGAAAGCAATTTCATGCCCGTAGAGTCTTACTTATTCAGTCCAGGAATCCAAATTGGGACATTTCCAACAGATGAGTTAAAAAACTTTTTAACTTTAAAAGATTCCATTGCTATTAATCTTAAGAAGGTTTTCTGAGACTCTAGGACAGGTAGTCCTTGACATGAACCTAATTGAGCACGGACATATGATTGTAAGTCATGGTGGTCATTAAGCAGGTCATCATTTGACCACACCCGATTTCCAACATTTTTAGTGCAGTTGTTAAGTGAGCACTATGATCAACAACACACCCATAAAACCCCACTGAAAATCATGGATTCCAGACTGCAGGATACTGCAAATGATCATAAATCAAGCCACTTTCCAAGCATCTCTCTCTCTCTCTCTCCCTCTCTCCTCCCCTCCCTTCCTCCCTCCCTCCCCCCCCTCTCTCTCTTTCACACACACACACATCTCGGAATTTTGAAAATGGGTCATAAAAAGCTCTGTGGAGGTCTGTTTAACTGAGTGGTTGCTAAGTGAGGACTACATATGGACTCTGTCTTCCTGATTTTATTATTATGTATTCTGCATTTAGAACTTTGGAGAATAGTCTTATTGTTATAGAAACGGCTTGTACATCCTGTTGTGTAAAAGCAAAAAGTTGTAATGATGGTTGTAATGATGTTCTACTGTGCTAAAGAGAGTCGGAAACTAGTGCCTTTTGCTTTCCTTTTCTCCTTTTGCACTATATCTCTTTTCTTTCCCCTCCCCCATTTCTTAGTTTTCTACTACTTTTTTCTTTGTATTTTATACTTTGATAAACTAATAAAAATTAATTAAGAAAAGGAACTTTGGAGAATAAATCTTGCCTTCCTTCTGTGTCTTCATTTCAGATATCAGCAAAATGCTATATCCTCCTTTAGTCGTTTCTTTTTAAGGCTAACTAGTCCCAGTTCCTTTCAGTCTGTCTTCATATTTACAACCGTTGCAGCACAGAACCTACTTCTAGTATCCTGATCATTCTTATTGCCCATCTCTTAACCTATTCCACTTTCTTTAAATTTCTTAAAGGATGGTTCTTAGAACTCAACACAATTCAGGTAGTCCTCGACTTATGACCACAGCTGACCCCAAAATTGCCGTGGCTAAGCATGACAGTTGTTAAGTGCTGTTTTGCCCCATTTTACAACCTTTCTTGTCACCGTTATTATGTGAATTACTGCCGTTAAGTTAGTAAGTGAATCTGGCTTTCTCGTTAACTTTGGTTGTCAAAAGACCGCAACAAGTGATCACATGATCCTTGGACACTACAACCATCATAAATACATGCCAGTTGTCACCAAATTTTACGACACTGCAAGAGTCGTAAATGTGAAAAATGGTCATAAGTTACTTTTTTCAGGGCTGTTGTAACTTTGGACAGTCACTAAATGAATGGGTTGTAAGTTGAGGACGATTTGTACCAGAAGTGGTATTCAGCAGGTTCTGACCAGTTCTGAAGAACCGGTAGCGGACATTTTGAGTAGTTCAGAGAACTGGCAAATCCCACCTCTGACTGGCCCCGCCTCCATCTCTGCCTCCCGAGTCCCAGTTGATTGGCTGGGTCTTTTGTTGCCCTGCACAGGAGAATGGAGCTGAAAAGCAGGTTAGTGGGGTGGGGAGGGAATGAGGATTTTGCAGTAACTTTCCCCTGCCACGCCCACCAAGCCACGCCCACAGAACCAGTGGTAAAAAAATTTAAATCCCACCACTGATTTGTACTTCAATAAACTGGTGTAATTGAATTGAATTGCTTTTCAGACGTTTTTATCCTATCCTACACTTTTGTATTTGAGCTCTGTTTTCTGCATGAACAACCTTGAACTTATATCTTTAAAACTACATTGTTAGTTTTGGTTCATTTTATATCCACTATTGTTTTTGAATGGAATGAAATGGAATAGAATAGAATTTTTATTGATTTAACTATTTAACCATATCAAAACTAGAAAACTAATACAAATAGTTGCAAACTAATGCAACATGTTCATAGTAAGTTGTCGTCTCTACAATTCACCTTAGTCTGTTCTAAATCCTCTTCAAAATAGCCTTTGATATAAAGAGGTGCAGTCTTACTAGTGATACGCAACTTTGTTCCCTACAAAAACTAAGGTAGTTTCTCCCAGCTGCTTTAGTTTTTTAAAAAAATAATAATCCTTTTCTGCAGAAAACAGTTTGCAGTCCAGTATCTTGAACGGCTGGCACTCCACAAATGCACAGTTTTTCTTCAAATGGGACTCCATGAAACCTCCCATGTTTTACATGGAGACTTGTTGTTTGAAACAAGCCCTGGAAAAGGAACTGAGAGGTTGAGGCATACCGGTTGTTAATATATTTTTCTAACTGGGAGGCTGCTTTTGGTTCAAGTCAGACACTTCAAGGACTTTGCATAATTAAGTGCCGCACTATCATCTTGGGCAGCCACATCAATGAGGCTTTGTTTGAAAGCTTCCTTGGCCTTTAGATCTGATTGGACCATGAACTGGATGGAGAATCCACATTGTGAGATGACATTTGAAAGTTGGGCGGCCACAGTGCCAGGAAGCCTGTTATGCAACTGCTCTTCAAAACACAGCTTGGGTAATCTATCTGGGTCCATCGATAGGATCTTCAGCCGGTAATTTGGATAATTACTAAATTGCTTTATGTACAGGGAAAACTCAGCTCTGTCGTTAACGCGGCAGCTGGGGTAGACTAATCCACCCAGGGTTCGGCTGCTGGGGATTTGCAGGGGTTAGGAGAGTCCCTAGCTAAGATTCTCTGCAGTTTGGAAAAACCCCAAATCCCACTCCTGGGTGGCTCCGCTTACTCCACCCCCCTCCCCTCCCAGGAGTCCCCATGTGGCCCATTTTGGAAGCAGGTAAGTGCAGGGCACGCGGGAAAGCCGGAAACAGGACTGTTTCCGGCTTCCAGAGAGCCTCTGGAGCCCAGGGAGCAGAGGTGGTATTCAGGTTCTGACCAGTTTTGGAGAACCGGTAGCGGAAATTTTGAGTAGTTCGGAGAACTGGCAAATCCAACCTCTGACTGGGGAGGTACCGTGTTTCTCATATAATAAGGGCGGGTCTTTTTTTTTTTTTTTTGAGCCCCCCGAAAATGGCTTAGGCTGTCTTTTCAGGGGTGACTTAATTCCCCCCCCTTGCATCTTCGGGCGGGCGGGTGGCGACGGCTTGGATGTTGACCTCGGCATTGGTGGGGCACTTCGTATCGGGGTCAACACAGGCAGCACCATATCCGGGTGTGCAACAAAAGTACTTCCTAACGGCAAGCCCCCCCACCATTCCCCCCATTTTGCATGTTTTAATATAGGCCTTAATTTGGGGGGAGGGGCTTAATTTCATTTCATGCCTATAAAACATGCTGGGACTTCCTATTGGGGGAGGCCGTATTGTTGGAGAAACAGGGTAGTCTTCCCCTGTCATGCCCAGGAAGCCATGCCCACAGAACCGGTAGTAAAAAAAAAAATTAAGCCCACCACTGTGGGGGAGGCCATTTTTGCCCTCCTGGAGGCTCGAGGAAAGCCTCTGGAGTTTGGGGATGGCAAAAATGCACCCCCCCCCGCCGTGGTGCAGAAGGCTGACTAGGCCACACCCACCATAGCCACGCCCACCCAGCAACCGGGCTGAGAACCCTTATGCTAAATTTTTTGAAGCCCACCCCTGAATCTACCCCCAAGATACATTTCAGAAATGAGGCATTTTTATATCCCATCGTTCTGCGCCATATATGATCATTGGGACTGTTTTGCTATTACCGGTATGTACCTTTATGATTGGAATTAGAGAACCTGGGTAGCTATGGTTGGTGAGCTGCCTTACGGTGTTGGCACAGGCTATAGCCCTTAAATAACTCCTCTTAAAATGTGGGAGGCAGCAACCTGCTACTTAAAAATAAGCCCTAAGTATACAGTAGATAAAATTTAACTTGATGCATCCGTTCCCTATCCAGGCTCCAGTCTTCCCAAAAGCAACTACAGTACCTTAGTTTTGAACCTACTATTGTTTTGTGGGGCCCTTGGTGCTCTCTGAGCTTGGTTGTTTTCTTGCGGTGTTTCACGATCCAAACTAGATAACACCATCATCCTGGCATTGATGATGTTACCTAGTTTGGCTGATGAAACGTCTGCAAAAAAACAACAACAACCAAGTTCAGAGAGCATCAGGGCCCCCACAATTCAATACTGAGCTACAAATATTCTCTTCTGTCAGTACTTCTGAATTTTACTTTCAACTTCTAATGATTCATTGATTGTATGTCTTCCGTTCATTGTCGATTCTTAGTGACAACATGGATAGATTTTTCTCCTAGATTTGACTTCTAGGGCAGGGATCCCCAATCTTTTGGGCACCAGGGACTGGTTCCGTGGAGAAAGATTTTTCCATGGACGTGGGGGTGGGGTGGGGGGCGTGGTTTTACATGCTGCCTGCACCCCGTGGATGAAGCTTCACTTGTTTGTGTGGCTCAGTTGCTGGCATGCCATGGACTGGGGGGTTGGGGGACCCCTGTTTTAGGGTACTTCTTATGCCATCTAATTTTGTGTAACCTACAATTTTGATAAGACTTGAGTTCCTTCACTTCTTCATCCAAGGACTGTAATTAATGAAGATTTTGAAGTACATAGGGTCCAGGTTGCACTCCATTCCTCCTTCCAGTTTGGTAAGGAATTATTGATTTGTATTCTTTGAACAGTGTATGAGCAGGGATGGGATCTGATCGGTATAACTACCGGTTCTGTTGCTTTGTGTCGCGCGCGTGCAATTTGCGACTTTGCTCAACAACAGAAATATTGTGCTCGGTTGTGGTTGTAAGTCAAGGATTACCGGTAATACATTCCCAGATGCATGGATAAAGCTTTTTTTTTTCAAACTGGATCTGTTTCTCTTTTCAGCTTGCCCAGAAATATGACCCACAGAAGGAAGCGGAATTACGGGTATGGATAGAAAACCTCACTGGGAGGCAGATTGGCCCCGATTTCCAGAAGGGGCTGAAAGATGGCGTCATACTTTGCGAGTAAGTAGGCTGATGAAGAGAAACTTGTACCTCAAAGCATCGTTCCTGCTGTTACCTCATAACCTCTTCCAGGATGTGTTATAAGAAGTTATATTCTTTTCAGGAAGAGCCAGTGAACTCCAAAAATGGTTTGTGGAGACAGGGAGAGGCCTGGAATGCTTAAAGGGTTGTGTGGCACTGGGTTATGAGATGGTGAAAGACATCATGTTTCATATGATGCAAAAATAATTTACAGAGCCTAATGATTTTGTTTTGTTTTTGTTTCTGGTGTTGCTTCAGTTCTTTTCTCCTCTCTCATCTGCTTTCACTTGGCTTCGTTTCATCGCTGCACCAATTTGTGTATTTGTTTTTATACAGAAGCATAGGTACTTTTCTGCAAATGTGCACATTGTTGTACTTTTTCTTACCTGTCCTTTTTTTAAAATAAGTAATTGGCCTATGTAATGTCACTTTTGTGTGTTTCCTTCTCATTTCTTCCTTCTTGCTAGTAAAATTTGGGAGTGAAATGGAGTTTGCCTTCTAGTTTGTGCATACCTAGGAAAGAATTCATTCTACGGACGTTCGTGTAAACATGGTTTTCCTTCCCATTGTGATAACAGCAAGTGACTTTAAAAACTGCATTAAATCTAACTGAAACTGTTTTTACTCTCCAGATTAATAAACAAACTACAGCCTGGTTCAATAAAAAAAATCAACACCTCCTCTCTCAACTGGCATCAGGTAAATATGTGCCTGCAGTGATGGAAAATTAATTAGCAATGATATTTTTTTTTTAAAAAAGTGGGATGCAAGCTATGATTAAGCAACAACGTGTGGAGTCAGAACATGTTTCTCTTTGTTCGCACATGTAATGTAATGTAATGTAATGTAATGTAATGTAATGCAATGCTGATTTACATTAAAGAGTCCGGGGTTGTAATAAACCCTGCCTGATAAAGCTGGCTTCCAAGGAGATTGCAGTTTCTCAGGATTTGAGTTGCCTATTATAGGAAGTCCTCAACTTATGACTAGCATTGGGACCAGAATGTCCATCATTAAGCAAATCTATGATTTGCTGTCGTTGTTGTTAGTTGCAAAGTCATGTCTGACCCATTGGGACCCCATGGACAACGTTCCTCCAGGCCTTCCTGTCCGCTACCATCCTCCAGAGTCCATTTAAGCTCACGCCTACCGCTTCAGTGACTCCATCCAGCACCTCATTCTCTGACGTCCCCTTCTTCTATTGCCCTCAATCTTCCCCAGCATTAGGCTCTTCTCCAGTGAGTCCTTCCTTCTCATTAGGGGGCCAAAGTATCTGAGTTTCATCTTCATGATCTGGCCTTCTAAAGAGCAGTCAGGGTTGATCTCCTCTAGGACTGGCCGGTTTGATGGCCTTGCAGTCCAAGGGACTCGCGGGAGTCTCCTCCTCCAGCGCCAGAGTTCAAAGGCCTCAATACTTTGGCGCCAGCCTTTCTTATGGTCCAACTTTCACAGCCATACATTGCAACTGGAAAAACCATAGCCTTGACTATATGCACTTTTGTTGGCAAGGTGATATCTCTGCTTTTTAGAAGTTATGGTTACGTTAGCTTTAATTTTACAACTTTTCTTGCCAGGATTGGTCACTGAAATTGTTAAGTGAATCATGTGGTCCTTAAGCGAACCATTGACTTTTCTTGTGGGAAGATGGCTGGGAAGGGCGCAAATGGCGATCCTGTGATCCTGGGATGCTGCCACTATCATAAATTCAGGCTAGTTTCCAAGTGCCCAAATTTGAATCCTGTGAACCTAGAGATGCTGCAGCAGTTGTAAGTGCGAGGACTGGTCATAAGTCACCTTTTTCAGTGCCGTTGTAACTTTGAACAGTCCCTAAACAAATGGGTGTAAGTCGAGGACTACCTACAGTTAATTCCAAATGGAACTTCCAAGAGTAGGTGCAGTTTATCCCTGAATGGGGAAAAGCCAATTCAGCCTTCATGCTGTGCTTGAAAATTTGCAGGGAACTGGACCAGAGACAGAACTCTGAACTGGTTGTATCTGTAATTGGCCAGCCGAGTTGCTTAGATTCATGAATTTGGCCTCTCAGAAAAGGAAAGCTGTATTTTGGGAAGCAGTGTCCTTGCCAAATCGTTTGAGATTACTGTGTGTCTCTGTGGTTCCTGTGCTATTTTGTAAGTAAGAGTTGAAAGAGAATGCCTGGGTGTGGGCTGAGCCAGTCTGCCCAGCTGGTTTTGCTAGTCATGGAGGGACCAGGATTAGCTCCTGAGGATACCGAAATTTCACCTTTTGAAAACCTTGTTCAATGGCCTGGCAGCCTTCTGGGTTTTTTAATGGGCATTTTTCCGCCGAGCTAGACATTTGTTTTTGTCTTTGTTTGTTGAGATCAGCTTTAGTGGAAGGTGATACAGAGGCTTTCTCCAAACAGGTGTTGTTAGGGATATACCCCTAGCAAGAATCTGCAGGGCAGTCAGGCAGGCAGGCAAAATATGTGAGATAAGTGTTGTGTAGCTTACACTCAGTAAAAGCAGATACAGTGCCAATTAAAGTAGTTTTATTCCAGCAATAGTTAAAGCATAGTCAAAACAGTCCATATATCATACACTTATTTCAGTCCGTCCAGGGATTATCCAGTTGCAAATTCCAATGTCAAAAATGAGAGGTCGGTACACTTACAAAATAACAGTCCGGTAATTTATCTCTTCGCAGTAGAAAGAGATATGCAACAAAGTCAGAAACTCCTCTCTTCCGTTTGCAACTCCAGTAATTGCCAGCAAAGCGTCAGGGAATGTCAGCTTCTCGTCAGCGTCTCATCGGCATCTCTTGCTCCCTCTTATGGTGGTTTCACACCACACCCAAAATACATGCTTTGCATTTAAAGTAACACACACTTTAAACTAAGAAACATAGCTTATATATATATTATCTTACCCAAACTAGTTAGGTGACCAATGTTATACCTAACAGGTGTGCTCTGTTGTATTGGGACTGCAGAACCGCTAAGGATTGTGGGTATGCTTTCAACACTTCTGGCGGGGTGTGTGTGCCAGGTTACAGAAGGTTGTGATAGAGCCACTGAACTCTAAGCCTCGTTTTACCCAGTGGTTAATCCTTATTTTTTTCTTTTGGGATTAGTTGCCTGAAAAAAAAATAATAGGCAATGTTCACCTTGCATATTCAGAAGTCGCAAATTGATACAGCCAAGGTTTTTAACTTGCTCTAATTTGGAAACACTATGATAAATTCAATCCCCTGCCACTTCCGGCTGACAAGTTGCAGGCCTTACATTGGGGCTGGAGAGACGACCCCATCAGGATCCATCCATCCATGTTCTGCTTGTGGACAGATGTTCTCCCTGACATCTGGAGCAGGGGTCTCCAACCTTGGCAACTTTAAGCCTGGTGGACTTCAACTCCCAGAATTCCCCAGCCAG